AGGGTGACAGTTAATTCAAATTAAGAGAAGAGCTGAGAAGAGGCAGCTCTAAAATTCTGGATGCCATAAGACCTACCAAAATGGCAGAGCACCAATGAATAAATGAGGCCTAAGCCTAGTTATTAATATCAGGTATTAGTAATCTGCATATTCTTGACTAGACCAGGTTAATTACATGTAATGCCGAAATGATTATTTATTATTATTATTATTATTATTGTTATTATTATTAATTATTATTATTATTATTATTGTTATTATTATTATTATTATTAATTATTGTTATTATGTTACTAAAACCAACCTGTAGGCCTACCCTAAGGGGAACTTAGACAATCGAGGAATTAGAAAACAATTAAAAAATCGACGTTATTAAGGGCCCCAAATAACAGAAAAGATATTCCCCTTGGGCTAGTCATTAATTATAGGCCTAGTAAATAGTATACAAGGCTTAGGTCAAGGTAATTAATGCTGAAATTATTATTATTATTATTTATTATTTGTAATTACATTACAGGGATAATTTGGTCAAGTTCAATAACGCCGCCGAATGGTACATTTTATTTATTTAATAATATTTCTCTTATGCACTCTATTTTTTATTTCATGCTTTAATTTTTTTCATTTTTTTTTTTCAAAATTTCAATCAACGTCTATATGTAAAGCGTGACTGTTGGTGTCAGCCTAGGACCCAAGGCCTATACTAGGTAGGACTTAACTTAGCCTGTAGTTAGGCCCATTGTTTATCCTCTTTCTCCCTAGCCTCTGGTATTACTGTACCTATCAACACTTTATAAAAGGGGGTACTAGCTGTTGTTGTTGTTGTAGATATTATACTAACATTTAATAAACATCCAAGAAGGTCACAGTTAGTTACACACGTACATCCCATAAATCCGTAAGATACCATAGGCCTACCGTAGGTAAACATAAACTCGAGCGTCACGACATTGCGAAGTGTCTGCCGCTCTTGTTCCTCGTATCGAACTTAGTCGAGTCAATCCGAGATGGCCCGAGTGAAGTTTCATGCAAATGTTTCGTACGGGAAAAAAATCGCCATCCGCGCGGCTGCGCTATATAGCAATAATAAAGGTGCTGCTCCTGTTCGTTTGTTTACTACGGAAGCCCGTTAGTGTCAACAGTGAATAAAAATTTCAAATCAGTTAACTGGCGGCCGCCAGATAAATAAGTGACGGCCGCCAGATAATTATGTTGCAGCCTCCAGATAATTATGTGGCGGCCGCCAGATAATTATGTGGCGGCCGCCAGATAATTATCTGGCGGCCGCAACATAATTATCTGGCGACCGCAACATAATTATCTGGCGGCCGCCAGTTAAGTGATTTGAAATTTTTATTCACTGTTGACACTAACGGGCTTCCGTAAAATACACAGAGCAGCTCATTCTTCTGTTATTTAAGTTCTTTGCCTAACTTCACAGCCAGATTCCATTGAGAATTAATGTTAGAAATTCCACACCGACGCAATTTTTTCCGCGGCATTTTTCTGCTGAATGTCAGTACATGCTAATTAAATGAAAAATATTAATAAGCAGATTAAATATACGCCTAATAATTATAAACATTAGGCATTATTGTATGCGTTCATATTCAGTATTGTATAATGCATTACCACAACATTAGAGGTAGTACTAATTAAAAACGTGCATTATTATATAATTAAATTAGGCCTCTATAATTTAAATTCATAAAAAATGTATATATTAAATTCTTATTCAAAAATTACCGAAAAATCAATATACAGCAACCGATTTATCACTACAGCGCCTACATAGGCCTATGACCAAAAGATTACCGGAAAAAAAACAAACAAACAAAAAGAAACAACAAAAAAAAAACTCACAGGCCTATATCGCTTAGCTTAGACCTAGTATGTCGTAATAAATTCTATTGGGTTATTACGTTAGTGACTTCATCTGCTGCAATGGCGTTTCATACTTTTGGCATTACAAACCCGCGACCGAAATGATTGAACATCAGCTCCCATTGTGACCAATACTGCTTGGGATTTTTTGTTAACTTTTTATTAAATCTTGGAATTTTTGGAATGAAATTGAATTTTGTTTCTTCATGAAGACAATTTAAAAATGAAGAAATACTAACACTATGGGTCTGACAGTTGTGAATAAGCGCGGTTGTTCCATTGTTCGAAATAAATTGAAAGCTTTTTTTTTTCAATTCTGATTGTTGTTTAGTGCCATCTTCATCCTTTTGCAAAATATAGTGAATTTTAAGTTGAACCTCTTCTTGTGTCCCATTGGCGGATATGCTGTATGGTTCAAACAATGACATCTGTGAAAAAGTTGAGCAAGAGCATTGCAGCTAGATGCCAGGGTACGGTCTTATACTTTGCAATTGACAGTCGTCCAATCAAATTCATCACAAAATGATCAGCTTACACCTTTCGAAAATAGAAATTAAAAATCAACTCTATTTTTTCTATAAAAGAACAATAATACGACGATTGTCTTGTCATTTCTTATTTATGATTTTAATTAATGTAAGACTCTATGTGTAGGCCTATATATCGCCAATATTTTGCGAATTTTGGGATTTTTAAAACTATCTTAGCATTTTTTAAAAACAACCTTGGGAATTTTCATTTTTCCCAGTGGTCATACTGTCAGCTCCACCCACCATTTTTTTGGACTGGTCCCCTCGACTCCTTCGAAAGGGTTCTGAGCTGAATCTTATATGCTCCTATGGCATTTGCGTTGCGAAATAATAACAGAAAATCTCTGTCTGCCGCTCTCTATTCTGAATTTGCTATCAAAACAAGGAAGTGTAACCGCTTATTGCTGATTGGCTGAAGAATAAGCAATCACTACTCAGTACTGGAGTAGCTGAAAATCGTTGTATGTCCTTATTAATAGGTCCATGGTGTAACGTTATCAGCCTTCGTTTTCGTAAATAATGTAGACTAGTACACGATTTCTGCTTTGACTAAAAACTTACGTGAGCGAAAGCATGTCAATATTTAGAAGCCGAAACTCGAACAGTATGTATATTAAATATTTATTGTATAGAAATGTCGAAAGCGGTTTTAGATAGGTTACTTAACAGTGCTGCGAGCACTGTAAATACCAACTAGAGGAGTCTTGTACACAGTACCATATAACCATAGACAGTGATATACGCCCTCACATAGTCGGGTTATGATAGACAACAGTGAATAGCTAGTCTCAGCAGTTTATAGTATTAATTAGGCCCGTTATGTGGCTAAGCTAAACATACATAAATACACACACACCTTCACCTACCCACCTCCCCTTCCCAACACCAACCAACACACACACATTCATTCTCACACTCGCCTTTCTTCCATCGACATTAAACCAATATTACCTTGAGTCAGTCGAGCATGAACTTTATTAATTGCAGCCGTAAATATAACCATTGTAAATTACACAAAAGCCTGCCAAATACTGTATAGAGAAATATTTGTACCAACGATTTAACGATTTAACGCCGTACCTTCAGGCACATAAGCCTAATATTGCTGACTCATAAATTAGTATGAAATATAGAAACGATATCTAGAGGCACTGCTTGGCGCTACCTGTTAATAGTGCCGTGTCTAGGGGATGCACAGGGGGGAGCATGGCCCTCCAGAAATTACTCCCCCCCCCCCGGCATTGTGTACCCCAAGACGCTCCTCACCCACCCAAAAAAAAATTCACGGAAAAGTTGTTAAAAAGCACCTAAAATGACCTAATTTTTTGAGTTAGGTCCCCTCAACTGATCATCGAGCATGTCCTCCTCCCCCTCCCACCTTCAGATAACTGCATTGTTGTTTGTCTTCTCAAGACAACATGACTTCAAATGAGACATACGGATGCATTTTTGTTAATTTGCACAAAGTAGTGATATTTTTGGTATTTGGTAAATATTTCAGTATTATTTTTACATTATTATTTTTTCCATACCGCAAGCGCTACCTAGGCCTACTGTTCAGTCCATACGGTAGCCGATAATTCACCACTGATTAAAATTCTTTCAAGTTTGTTTATGTATACTGGTAGTATTCGTCTAATTTATCAGCAGTGGTTTTGTTATCATTTTCAATCAATTCTGCCTTAAATATTTTGAGTTGATTTACATTTCTTTCTTGTCAGCAGTCTTGATCATCAAGAGATTTGGTTAATCAATGATAGAAATCAAATTATTAATGATTCTGATGAAATAAGGAAATATTTAAAAATGTTAATTCATTACTTAAAAGTATCAACTAACTGATATATGTTTTCACAGATCTATTGAACTTTTACTACAATAATAATAATAAAATTACTTAGCAGGCAATTAAAGGTAGTTGATATAAGTTAATTGATAAAGAATATGGTTATGTTATTATATACATATTTGTTACCTAATCACTACTGTACTGTAGCTGAAAATTGTTGTATGTCCATGGTGTAACGTTATCAGCCTTCGTTTTCGTAAATAATGTAGACTAGTACACGATTTCTGCTTTGACTAAAAACTTACGTGAGCGAAAGCATGTCAATATTTAGAAGCCGAAACTCGAACAGTATGTATATTAAATATTTATTGTATAGAAGTGTCGAAAGCGGTTTTAGATAGGTTAGTAAACAGTGCTGCGAGCACTGTAAATACCAACTAGAGGAGTCTTGTACACAGTACCATATAACCATAGACAGTGATATACGCCCTCACATAGTCGGGTTATGATAGATAGACAACAGTGAATAGCCAGTCTCAGAAGTTTATAGTATTAATTAGGCCCGTATGTGGTTAAGCTAAACATACATAAATACACACACCTTCACCTACCCACCTCCCCTTCCCAACACCAACCAACACACACACATTCATTCTCACACTCGCCTTTCTTCCATCGACATTAAACCAATATTACCTTGAGTCAGTCGAGCATGAACTTTATTAATTGCAGCCGTAAATATAACCATTGTAAATTACACAAAAGCCTGCCAAATACTGTATAGAGAAATATTTGTTTTAACGATTTAACGCCGTACCTTCAGGCACATAAGCCTAATACTGCTGACTCATAAATTAGTATGAAATATAGAAACGATATCTAAAGGCACTGCTTGGCACTACCTGTTAACAGTGCCGTGTCTAGGGGATGCACAGGGGGAGCATGACCCTC